TCGATGGAGCAGTGGCTCTTATGGCCGTCAATAATAAGTAGTTGATGCCCACCTATAGTAGAGCTCTTTGTATGGGTATTAAAGTGCTCTAACCAGGCAAGACCAAGCTGATTATTCGTCCAGCCATTGGGACTGACTTTAAGAACCCAGTCGGCAGGCAAATTCTCAAACCAGACGTTGATAAGCACCTTGCCCGCAAAGACAACGAACGGTGGTATCTGGCGACCCGACGCGCCCACGCCTTGGATCACAGTAACCCACTCACGGTTGCCTGGCTGTATCCGCTTCTTTTTCCCATATCCTTCTGATGCTGTGATTAATAACTGTGATAAAATCTTGCCTATCATAAAGCTAGTTTCGTCAAAGTTGTAGATATCGTCGTCCACAATACCCCACTTCTGCCTTGTCGCCTGGACTAAGTCAAACCAGCGCTGGATAGCCACTGGGTCCTCGCAGGCGGCTCGCTGGTGATCATAGGGACGGCTCCAGCGCGTACGGAGCTCAGCAGTCCGCCTAACAAAGTTGTCAACCCAATTCTTGCCAATAGGGTTGCCACCACGCTCCTCTAACAGTTTATTGGCTATTGCTCGAACCTCAGCCTTTGTAGGGGCAAATCCACGCGCAGACTCTTCAAAAATACGTCTAATAATAGCCTCCTCTTCTAACTTATTTAGGCGCTTTAAATTCGGTTCACAGTCGCGTCGGGGCGCTTTCCAGCCTGTCGATCAGATATTGTACTTTGAGGCACGTTATAGATAGAGGCAGCGCGTCTTTAGCTTTGAACACGTTGTGATTGGATATTAAAAAGAGCAAGTTGAAGATCTGATTTAGGATAAGTTAATTGATAGTTGTGTTGTTGAGACATAACGCGTTGTAGTATCAACGTCGACGCGCTGGTGGGGAGTGACCGACTCGCTTGGGTGACCGACTCGCTTATGAACCACGTTAGTCGTATATTCTTATCTCTTTAACCCCGTCCCGCTCGATTTTTTTTTACATGGGGGGAAAAGCATATTATACGCAATGAAACCAAACAGAACAACTGGCAAAACACGAACGGCAAGTCTGCTTACCGGCTGTCAAAA